AAAAAAAAAAAAAAAAAAAAATCAGTATTACTACCTAGGTCTACAGTTCTCATCGGTGCTCTCCAAAGACTGGCTTAGGATTTAAGTTGGTTCTGGTAAATACCCAGATGGGAGCTGCCAAGGAAAACCTAGCATCTAATGGGAGCAATGCTATTTCACTGTCACTTGTATAACACAGTTGACTCTTGCCAGGAAGAGGACTACTCTCGTGTTCCTCCTGAGTGGCTGCCGCTGTTATTAGAGACACTATCTTAATATACAGTAGTGAAAATGTCTGCAGAGGAAACATTCCTGGTAAGCAGCTACTGCTCTTACCAGATATGTTGCTGAAACGAGCATCAGCTACAGAATATATAAAATACTTTTATAACTATTATATATTAGCACAACACTTGAACATGGGTGAGACATACTCCAGGCCTCAAGGAGTTGATTATTAAAATACACGACAAACATACACGAGGCAAAACTAAAGTTCACGAGAGGAATGGTGTAGCGATTAGTCTTCTCCTGCAGAGATGAGGACACGAATAAAAACCTGAAAGATGAGAACAGGGAGAATATCCCAGGTAGAGTGAGCAGTATGATACAGTACAGAAAGACAAGAGCGAGAGGTTTTATATTCTATTTAGACTTGAGCACAAAAAGGTAAAGTACTCTCTCCATTTGACATTCTAGAGAAAATTCCACGAGACCTTTTTGATGAGCTAATTCTCAAGGTCCCATGAAGAGCAAAAGATTGGTAAGTCCTTGATGATTAAAAATCTCGTATGAATTGTAAGACAAGTATCATCTTTACCTGATACAACTGAGGCCACAAGAATCTGAGCCAAAATACAGAACAGTACCAAATAATATAATGCAATACTTTTATCATACTTCAAATATAAAAAACACATTTTATAAAGCAATGATTACTGTGGAAAGAAAGGATTCCGTCTACATCACGACTGATACAAACAAATTCACAGCTGTGTACAATTGGATATCACAGCAGTATTTTGTTTCATAACACAGGGAAATCACTCATTTACAATTCTGATTCAACCCACATACAGAACATTTAAATGCCAATTTCACAGCCATACACAAGGGGAAGAAATCCAGGGACACTGCATTTATTAATATAGCAGTGACTGAAACTGAAAACAGTCTCTTCTTGAACATCAGTCATGCTATTTTATTACAAAAAAAGTCTTTGCTACTTCTTTGTCCTTTGTTATTAAGCCACTGATGATTCAATGCCAAATCATTACTTCACCAGGTTAAACTATGTAGCATAAAAGCTGTGAAATAATAATTCCTAAGGCTATGTTCTTTACATGTCTCCTGCAATGTATTATTTTATTTTCTGAAGTGTAAATTTGGTTTGGTCTTTGTACAGGTTTTCGGAATAACAATGGCCCAAACCACTGAAGGCGGGCCAGATTTAATTCAATATAACAAATGAAAATATTTAAGATACTTCAAAACAAAACACACAATGAAGAGCTACAAAATCTACTGCAAGCAATTTATTTGGTCAAGCACTGTATAAAAGGTAGGTAAGTTTCCACTTACAGCTTTCTCGGGAACTAAATACCTTGCTTGTTTTGCATCAAGTTAATTCAGCCTACAACTGGAAAACTGCCCATACCCTATAATTACTGGTAGAATGCTATTGGGACATGCATCACATTTGGCTCTTAGCTGTATATTGTGAAAAATAACCTTAAAATCTAAAGAAAGATCCACTACTCTGTTATTTGCATACAAAATGACCAAAAAAAATCAAAGCTGATGCTAACAGTGATAAAAATAAGAATATAATTCTACTGTCTCCCTACTAGTGAGACTTACGTATTCGGTAAAAAGCCTACGAGAAATATGAAGTTTATTTTTAATGTTGCTTGTATATCATGATATTATGGGTTAGTATCACTGAACAGGAAAGGACACGCACCTTGGTTTCGTGATCTGGAAAGTTTACTTTTTTTTGTCTTAGTGTCCATTTCCTGAGATATTATCTGCTCCACTTCCCTTACACTAGAAATGTTTGCAAAATCATTAACTGCACTAGTGATACTCTTGTCACTCTGCATTACTCCATGAAATCCTGAGCCCAAGGGATCATTATGTCTCATCTCTCCAACCGTGCTTACTATACTTGAAGTACTGATATCAAAAAGATCTTCAGCTACAACGCTGACTCCATGTTCATTCTGATTCCCAGTGTTATGGCATGTTTGACCTAAGAGTTTGTTTGCCTGTTCCTCCGATTGTCTGTCATCATAAAGTTCAGGTGTGAAATAGATACTATCATCCTCATCTTCTGCTTCCGTATCTACATTTAAAGGTTCAACTTTCCCTTCTACTGAAGATAACTCAGTGCATAGATCTATGGAAAGTTTCTGTCCACCAGAATTCCCCATAGCTGTTGCAGCCTCCGTCTTTTTTGCTGGGGAATGACATTTTTCCAACTTTGAGGCTGGTCTGCTTGGTATAAGTTCTGTAAGTGATGATGACTGGCACCGTTGCCCATCAACAACTGGCTGACTAGTTTCAGTAGTGCTTTTTACTTGATTGCACTTAGCTTTCGACGTGAATTTATTTTCGTTTGCCGGAAGAGGTGTTGAAGTCAACGGCTTACTGAAGTACCTTTTCATCAGGTCAGAACTACTCCAACTATTCCTCTTCTTAATCTCTCTCTTGTCTAGTCTGGAGTTTGTCATTTTTTCTTTCTGTTGCGTTTTGTGAGAAGGACTTTCTACACCAAAAGTCTGACCACCTGTGAAAATGACAAAATATTACAATACTAATGAGTTGTTTTAGGTTTGGCCAATATTTTATAATGTGCTTAACACATTAGAACAAGTGTTTTTATCAAGTTACAGTTATTGGTATAATGCGAACTAAAATCCAACACAAACAAACGCCTAGTTTGCCCACACAGTTTTGTATTTTTGTATACATATTGTTGCACTGACTGCAACACAACACCCAGCATAAATATACAGAATGTGGATGTGAATGTGTTCGTAGATTTTCACTCAGCAGAATAACAGCATTTTTAAATTAAAAGTAAAACGTTAAATTAAAGCTAATACAAATTTCCATCCCTGTTAAGAGATAAATTTGAACTATTAAGTTCAAATTTGGATTCAGATTCCCTTAAAAATTGAGGCAAAGCTACAAGAGGAAGGAACTAACTATGAAGCACAGCTCCTAACGTTTTTCTAAATTTCCAGCCCATGGTTCTTGTTCATAAAAAAAAATCCAATTAGCGCTGAAATAAATGAAGTAAACTTAAAACCACGACCTAATATAAGAATTCAGATTTTTTTTAATTCAATGTTTATTTTGGTACAGAATCCAAAAAACTGGAAACGATCTTCATAGTTATCATTAACAACATCAAAATAATGTCAGAGAAATTAAACACCTTTTTACTGCACTATATCCCCTTCCCAAATGTTATCAAAGTCGCTAGTTTTAAGACAGCCAGATGGAATGACAACTAATTGTGCAATTTTTAAAAATAAACTTATATACATTATGGGAGCACTTTGCAGCACAGGCCACCTTACAATAACAGACACAAGATTTTACAGGCCACTCAGTTATGACTTCCGAGCATTGTTAATGGAGTTTTAGCATAGGAGATCAACATACTTTTTTTCCTTGTTGCCATGATGTCACTTGACTGACTGGATGCTGTAGGATTACTTGGGTTGACAGCTGCAGGGCAATGAGCTTCTGGGAACTTCACATTTTGTACCTGACTTTCAAAAGAGACAGATGGTGACAGATGAAGAGTTGCCTCCAATAAGGAAGCTGATGGCATCTCTTTTGAACATGAAGGTATACGCAAAGATTCACTATTATACTGGGATGATAAATCAGTTTCTTTCTGATTTTTTTTAGCAAATGCACCCAAGGATTCAAGTGCATTTCCAAACTTGTCATGGTGCTGGATTTGTTGACGAATCCATTTTGATAATCCTAATGAAAAAAAAAGTTGGTACATTACTACAAGATTTATTTTAAGTAAGTTCCAGACTCTTCCTATTTCAATTAGCTAATTGGGGCCCCAAACCTATGAATGCTTATATCTGTTTAGCTTTACTCAACTAAAAAGTGGGACTATTCTGATAAGTAAATTAAAGCATGCATGTGTGCAGGGGTCTGTGTTTCTTTATAGCTTAGTTATATCCTAGGTGGAGGGAGAGGGAACATGTAAAAAGTATTGTGCATTTCACTTTCAATGAATATTTTAAAGAGAGAGAGAGAGAGAGAGAGAGAGAGAGAGAGATTTTTTTAATGAAAGGATGTCTCTTTCCACTTTTCACTTTCTTCAAAAATAAGCTTAAGCTGACACCTATTGGTAAAGACAATAACACCACTGCAAACTTCCCAACGTCATGACTGTTGTCCTTTTATGCCTAGGTGGATGTTTCTCTTACTTTGCCTGTACTATTAGTTTAAATATCAAGAATTATTGCAAGTGGAATTAATGTCTAGGCTAGCTATTTATTACACAAGTTACATGGGTTCACAAAAATTAGCAGCATTTAAATAATGTGTAGGCTTTAACAACTGATTTTGGATGTCTTGTCAAATTCTTTAGTCGAATGTGGAAATCATATTATGCTTTCCCCCTTCTGCTTCCTCTCTCTGGTGATCTAAGAATGTAATGTGCTTAATACAAAACTACATGTCAGAAACCACTTATAACATAGCCTCGGAGCACCACCTACTGACTAGATAGTACCATTATCGGCTTTCTATCATGTCTTTACCACGGTTGTATATAAATGGAGAAGAGAACAAAGACCTGTCATCTATTCCTAAACAATTTCTTTTATTTTTAAGGTATCCATTTAAGCCCTGCTTTTGCTTTTGCTGCAATAATTTCTAATCCTTCCAAAACGATGAATGGGC